GTCTGCGGCAACGTGATAAGTAGGCAGCTACATAGCACGGCAAAGAACGTTAGAGAAGCCACATACAAGTAGTGCTACAAACATACAAATAGTGGGCTGTTGGCTACGTTAGAGGATCCTACAAGGCACAGCGTAACACAAATACATATATACATACATATATGTAGCGATGCCCGTAATTTTAGTGCTGGGCCCACTCGAACAACTACTTCAGTAGTTGGCTGAATGCAGTCCTAGTTGCAGCCTAGCATTGTTGTTGTTGTTGCGCGAATTGCATGTTGCCCATTATTTAACATGAAGATGCAGTGAGTTCGTCATGTACTTGCGCGGCTGATTGCCACGATTACGATGGATGGTCTATATGTATGTAATGTATGTACGGGTTGTACTCAATGGCTGTGGGCTCTGCTCTATGACTTTGACTGTTGTGAGTTGTTAACTAGACATGCTCTTGGTTGTATTGTCATTGCAGTTGCAGTTGCTTGTTGTTGTTATGCCGGTCTTACATTTCAAGCGCTTGCTTGTTGGCGTGGCTGTGGCTGTGACTGTATGGCGGACTCTGCTGCTGCTGATTGCAGCTTCTAGTTTTTTTTTTGCTGATGCCAACAAAGCGATTATGGCTCTGCAGCTGTGTCTTACATACATGCGCGCACCTTGGCAACATGGCCAACAAATGATGTGACCAACATTACAAAAAATGTCGCGTTGTTGGGGCTTCTGTTGTTATTGGTGCCACTGTTGTTGTACTTTTGTTTCTGCTGATGCTGCTTATTCATGCTGCTTGTTCGTGTTGAGGATGGTGCCAGCGCTGGTGTTGGCAGTGTTGCATGTTTCGCCCTACATTCACGCTGGTGGCTTCAATGGCAATAAGCTCTGTCTGCTGTTGTTGCTTTATTTTCAAAAGCACTTTTGTACGATACTCGTTGCTATGGTTTGAAGATTTTGTTGTTATTATTTATACATATTTCTGTTTTTACGTTAGCTTCTATTTCGCTGTTGGAGTGCAATATGCGTCTATCTCCACTCTACTACAGCCAAGTGCAGCCGTCGCGTATCGACATTCAACAGCGTGGAGCTCCTCTTCACTTGAAAAGTTGGAATCACTGTCTGTTGGAATTTTCGCTGTCTGCTTGGTTACTGTGCCCTGCCGCGCAATGATGTGGTGTTTTTTTCTTGCATTTCACTCTCAGCAGCGATAGTTGCTGTTGCTATGTTTCTCATGTTGCATTCTGAAGTGCCAAATATTTTTACTTCGAGTCTGTCTGAATTAATGCGGTTGATGCAACAGACATCAGTTATGGAATTTGCTAATATTGAAAAATTTATTAGAGGAAGTGGTTAGCAAAAGAATGCTATAAATGCATATTTATACTTAAAGCTAACTGTGTGCATTTTAGAACCGCGAACAAATGGCACGAATGGGAATGTAAAGTTCATGCCACAGCCTGAACACGGTCCGAAACTCGAGGGAGACTTCATCGCTATAGATTTCACTATAGAATCATTTATTTGGTAAAAGGTGCCTCTACCCAACTACTGGTTGGTATGAAAAATTACAAGGTTGACAAAAATTTGCACAATGCGACATCCACAAAGCTGCCGCGAGACGGAATAAATTTGGTGTAGGATTTGTGACTGGGCGTAGACTCCGACATCTTCTCTCCAGATTTAACTTCGATGAATGAACGAATTGCCACAATCCGAATTCGAGTAGGGCGAAGAGAACAAATGGCGTTTATGTGAGTGCCTGGAATAAGCGTACGAATAATAAGTGCTTGATAGCTTTAACGCCACGATGGACAAAGAAGGCATATTTTGTTCAGTAGTCGCTAAATTCAGCCTTCATGACAACACCTCCTACAATATCTCGATCAGCCCGATTTCCCGCGGTACGGAACATGGCTGTTAAATAGCATCCAAAAAGAATCAACAACGAAAGTAATCATGTTGTGAAAGACGGCGCTTCCAGCGTTCGTCCCAAGCGTTCTCGGAGAAAATTCGCTTTCGACTCTCAATCCTGCTTAAACAAGCAAATGTCCATGGCCTGGATATAAACGAACGGTAGGATTCCATCTTTGCACACTGCAATTAATGGCGACAAGCGTGACAATGGAGCGATACCGTCGAGTGGCAGACAAACGAGGGCACGAACAGATTGTGATTATGGAAAGCTGAAATACGGCTTAAAAATTCTATTAGAAAAGGCAGCAAATAAACGGTTTCAAACATCTGCAATGACGAAAATGGAAGTCTGGCAACAGACACATAAGATGTGGAGGGAACACTTTTGAATGGCAACACCTGTGGCACGTATGAGGAAGACAACCCCAAAATTAATGTATTGAGACGAATTGTTGAACTCAACAGTTGCCAGCAGTTGAACTAAACAGCTAGGTTTTATGAATGCGCCCATTATTGCATATCTTCAGGTAAAGCCCTTTAATTTGTTACTTCACTTTTGAAAATTGAGCGAACTGGTCACATCATAGTGACATTCACAAAAAGTATCTTCGCGTATTATATAACAATTTATTGCATTAAATAGTTTTGTTTAAATACGCCTATTCATTTAATAAAATAACTTTTCAGGAAAAACGCGTTTTTTAAATTTCTTAAATTTTTAAAATTGTTATTTAAATTTTTTTTTCGATACTAAGTGGCTTAAAACGTCGCTCTCAATTTTGATAATTCTGATTTTGAAGTTTCTGAGCAGCTACAGATGAAGACCAAGACACTCTGGTCGGGATTTTTGAATGCGCTATTGGCTATGTTTCCGCTATAACTATTACCAGATCGACTTGGCTTCGGCTTATCTGCGTTGACGGCACGAAGTCTCTTTAAAATCGATCAATGGCTTCATATTTTCGTCACGTTTGATGAGCTGCTGGCCCTAGTGCAGCGGCATGATACAAAAAAGAAGGTAGTTTCAATAAACAACTTTTTGATTAAAAAGCAGATTTTGAACATATTTTAAAATTTTTTTAGTGTCCTCATGTCATCTCATTATTTCACAATGTAGTTTTCTATATCGGATACGATGATTCTGATGTAATTCAGACACTGAAATTACACATTTCGATGTGTTATTTAATCAATATTGTCTTTGTCCATTTGACAGCAAATGGAATTTACTTTAGGACCCATGGGCCTAAAATTTTTCCAGCAACACATATTGTTTTCACATGAAATTTTGACACACCCAAAGTTGAAGTATAAAATAAATAGATACAAATAAATTCTCAATCAAACTGATTTGTGTAGTCCAAGGGANTTTCACATGAAATTTTAACACACCCAAAATTGAAGTATAAAATAAATAGATACAAATAAATTTTCAATCAAACTGATTTGTGTAGTCCAAGGGCGTCTTTAGTAAATGTTTGGAGGCTGTTTTAATATATCCTATCTTATTATATATTTCTTAGCTTTTCTACATTCTGAGAAGTTGAGAGAATGAAGTCTAATATTCTTTTTGGGTCAACTATGATGTTTGATTTCATTTTTTGCAATCATTAGTTCATTTCGCTTGAGGAGTCGCAATGCTCATACCGGCTGTACCGATTTTTTAAAAATTTCAGACACAAATTTTCCAAGAATGGTTATAGGCTAAAACAAACCCGATATCTAAAGGGCGTGTGGAACCTCCCATACAAATCGAATTTTTCATAGTGCATATCTCTGGAATTATTTGTGGTAGAGTCCCGGAACTTTGTATGG